GCCAAAGAATGGCAGGAATTGGAAATTGGTTAATAGCCTTGGAATGGCCTACATTCCCTACTCCACTGCTCCTCTCCTCCATCACCTGATCCAGGGGCTGCGGGCAGTGTGCTGGGTCATGGGCAGCAGAGACAACTTCCCCATGCAGCCCTGTCCCCCTGCAGCACAGCCTCTGGCCTGGCTCACCTGTGCTCCTCGGTGCTCCTGAGGTGTTCCCAGGGTAGCAGTGGGATCAGCTACAGCAGGCCCCAAGCTGGAGTCCCCCGTCCCTTTGAACCCAACACCCATCAGGTGAAGCCAGCCCCGGGACAGGGAGTGGTGGCAAAACACACACAACAGGGTTTGTTCCGCCTGGTCTTGCCCCAGGACAGAGCAGCTTTCCTGAGGCCACAGGTGTCACAACCCAGATGCAAGTGCACTTCTACTTCAAACAGAGTCTGTGGGAGTCAGAGCAGAGTCAGCACGTAACCCCAGGACAGGGAGGACCAGGACCAAGACCACCTAGATCCAATTCAACCATGGGCTCAGCTCTGCCTTGGTCCCTGCCAGGGGTGCTATGACAGCCCAGGCCTGTCCCAGCTCTGTCCTCTCAGTGCGCCTGAGTCTGGCCTGAGCTACCCTTGTTCTCCTGAGCTGGCCAGGCCCCTTCACCACCCATGGCAGTCACAGGATGGATCCTGTACATGGGCCCCTCTGGAGTCTGGCCTTGCCCTGACCCTCAGCACCAGCTCTGGCCCTGGCACTCCTGCCCAGATCTGGCCCTCCTGGGACCTCCTGCACATCTGTAGAACAGAGTAGGGCAATAATCAACAGATACTTCAGGGGCAGAATTTTCTCCTAAGACACAGGTCTGAGACAAGATCTCTTGCATTTTCTCAGTAGAATCCTACACCAAGAACATATTTCTAGGCACTTGCCTCAAGAATTGTCTCACTAAAGCCCATGTTTCCTCAGGACTGGTGATGAATACTCATCCACAGCCTGGAGACCACCAACCAGCACTTTTCTTGGCACATCTAAACTCTGCAAGGTTTTGACTCCTATGGCATCCCTCTGAACAGTGCTCCCTTTCTGGAAAGAGTCATGGCCTTTTTAAGCACATTTCTATCGACATTTTTTCCCAGAGGAAGTACTGTGACATTCCTCCTCCATGGCCTATGGATACCACTGTGTCTTCTCCCTGTGCTACTGCGAAAATGGTTTTCTTTTTGAACAGATTTGCAAACTTCAAAGCAATCCAGATGAAAGATTATTGGATGCTGATGTCTTTTGAAAGATATGAAGACGGATCTTTGCCATGACCACAGCTACTCGAAATCTGTTTCAGAAGATTCAGACTAGCATCTCTTGCACCAATTTTCCATAATGTGTTCTTTAAATAAAACTTATAACCCATCTGGAAGTGTGTGTGTGGTCTTTCAGCTCAGACAAGGACAGGCTGCTTCACCCCACTCCAATGTGTTTTTTAATTGAACACTAAAAATAAATAAATTTAAAGTTTTGTGTTTGGTTTTTTTTTTTTTTATACAACTTCCTTATCCTCTCCACACACCTGATTGTTGAAGGGGTTGGATTGGATGACCTTTTAAATGTCCCTTCTCACCTAAACCAACCTATGAATTCATGATTCTATGAATATTTCAGTCTCACCAGTACACATTACAGGATGTACCACTGCGTTTAGGGATTATTCTTTTATTGGGTGCTGTATGTGATACTTCTCAGCCTTCATCAGTCACTTTCAATTACTCCCAGAAAACCTGGTTTTTGTCCCATGACAGAAAATATGACAATCATCATGGGTTTCCGTAGTAACACTTGAGTCTTTCAGTGTTTCAGGCTCAATGGGCCACAAGACTGAAAAGCACACAGGACTAAATCAAGCAGACAGGACCCTTTAATACCATCTTGTATAAAAAAATTCCACTGCTCTCTCAAGAAGAAATACATTTGTGCTGTTCCTGTTTACCTAGGAGCACTTGATCATTCTTACAATACTGTGGATGCTGCCTTTCAGAGGAACTTTGATAGGCTGAAAAAGTGGCCTGACAAGAACCTCCTGCAGTTCAGCATGGGGAAGGGCAAAGTCCTGCATGTGGGAAGAAACAATCCTGTGCATCAGTATGTGTTGAGCATCCCTCAGCTGTAAAGCCCTTTTGCAGAAGAAGATCTGGGTTGTACTGCTGCTGGGCACTGAGTTGACAATGAGCCAGCAATCTTGCCTCAAAGAAAGCCAACAGTGTTCTGGGCAGCAGCGGAAGGTCCAGGAAGAGAACTGTTCTTCTCTATTCAACACTGGTGCGGGTGCTCCTGGAGTACTGGTTCCTGTTATAAACTCTCCAGTACAAGAGGGCTATGAAAGTGCTGGAGAGAATCCAATGAAGGGACAAAAGGAGGATGAATGAACTCTCTTACAGGAGCATCTCTCCTATAAGGAAAGGCTGAGAGAGCTGGGACTCTTCACTGCAGAGAGGAAAAGGCTTAGATGAATTTTACCAACATAGATAAACACCTGAAAGAAGAGTATGGTACTTTGATGCTGTCTGGATGCCAGATGCCCACCAAAGCTGTTCCATTACTCCTCTCCTCAGCTGGACAGAGGATGTAGGAAATGGAAAAATAGAAACTTCCACAGATGCTGAAGGGTTCAATCTGCAGCTTTAGAAAGATCTTGGGTTAATGTAATGATTTAGGTATACAAACATTAAATAGAAAAATCATAAACTTATGTTCCTATAGTTATAAGTAAGAATATGTCCTGAGTAAGTAAGAAATATTAGGTAAAATAGTGTGAGGTTTGAACTGCAATAATGTGACTTATAGAGTAGGCAGGGATCTAGAAGCTGTAATAGAGGTGTGTGTATGAGTACGTGACCTGTCAGTGTATTGGCTAAGAGAAAAACACAGTGCAGCAAAATTAATCAAAGGTGATGGGCTAATAAGTAGAAACAAGTTTTGTGTCAGCTGTCTATTGGACCAAAATGTTATATATTGCTGTGTGAAGAAGAAACCTGTGATTACCTTGAGCTATGGCTGACTTGTTGCTCCTCTCTAAATCTCACGCCTTTGAGACTGATACGTTATCAAGCTTACTTGAGCAATAAATCATCTTAAATAACATGGTGGTCCCATCCCTCGTTTTTCATCTTGACAAGAGGAGAGAAAATATAATAAGCTCCTGGTTCTAGATAAGGACAGGAAAGATCACTCACCAATTACCCTCATAGGAAAAACTAACTCAGATTGGGGAAATTAATTTGATTTATTGCAATCCAGTCAGAGTAGGGTAATGAGAAATAAACATAAAATCTAAAACCACCTTCTCCCCCACCCCTCCCTTCTCTGGCTCAATTTCAGTCCTGATTTTCTCCCCTCCAAAGGAACAGGGAATGGAAGTTGTGGTCAGTTCAACATATGTCTCTGCAGTTCTTTCATCCTTAGGAGAAGGAACTCTTACACTCTTCCCCTATGCCAGCATGGGGTCACTCCCATGGGCAACAGTTGTCCATAAACTTCTCCAATGTGAGTTCTTCACATGGGCTACAGTTCTTCACAAGTCCTTCCTGCAAACCTGTGCTACCACCAGCCTGTCACTCACATGGCCACAGGTCCTGATAGAACCTGATGCAGCATGAGCTTTTATGGGGTCACCTGGAACACCTACCTCCCCTCTTCACTGAGTGTCTGCAGGGTTCTCTCACATCTCTCACCTCTCTTCTGGCTGCTGTTCCATGGTAGGTGTTTTCTCCCTTCCCAAACATGTTATCCCAGAGGTGCTTCCACCATTGCTGATGAGCTCAGCCTTGGCCAGTGGTGGATCAGTCTTAAAGCCATCTGGTGTTTGCTCCCCCACAACCAAAACCTTGCCATACAACCCAAATCCAGAGGGTGCAAGGCAAACAGAGCCAGGCACTTCTCTGAGGTGCCCAGTGACAAGCTACAAGCACAGGCTGGAACACTGGGAGCTCTGTGTGAAACATAGGAAAAACCTTCTTATTGTTGAGGGTGACCAAGCATTGGCTCACATTGCCCAGATGACTTGAGGATTCTCCCTCCTTGGAGCTATTGGAAGGACATAAGGAGAGCTTTAGGAGCAAGAAAATGAAACCAAAAAGTGCAGCCCAAATGCCTGAGATTCTGAACACAAACACTGGAGCAAGTTGGGAGGAATGGAGGAAAGAGACATGGTATATAATTTTGCAATGGTATCATGGCATATCCTTGGGTGACCAGTCAAGGGTTGAAGTGCTGGGAGCAGCTGGGTCCCTTCCAATCAACAAGGCCTTAGGCCAGTGAGCTCCAGGCCAACCTCACTTCCCTGCACTGCACCCATCCAGCACTTGAGCAGAAGATTCTGCAGACACTGACACATTCCTGCCCTGGAAATCCTGAGGCGCCTCAATCTCAGCACTCAGAAGAAGCTTCCATGAAGAAATGTCTATGACATAAGCCAGGAAATGAAAAGGTGGCAACACGGAAAACAAGCACCCAGCCCATGTCATTAGCTGGGATGTTTTCCATACATCATGAGCACCTTAGGAAATTACCACTTTCATAGAAGCCACCTCTGGGCCTGGGGCAACTCAGAGCAACCATAAAAGGCAGCCCAACTTCATGCTCTCACATCCACTTCTCCTGGCACCTTCTCCTTGGGACCCAGGTGAGTTTGGAACTCTTTCCCCTGTCCTTTTCTGGTGAGGTGGGTTCCTCTAGCCTGTGAGAGGTCTTAGTGCTGCTGCTGCTGCTGGGGGGTCAGAGAAGAACTAAGTTCTGACTTAGACAGTGTCAAGGATTTGGCTGAGGGAGCTCTTTATGAAGAAATAAGGTGACACTTAGCAGTACTGCAAGGCTGAAAACCCCTTTCTCTCACTGCCCAGTTTCTTCCTTCTGGCTTACACAGCTACAACTACAATTCTTGCAGTGGGATGATGGACTCATGGCTGATGGCTCCTCACCTGTGCCTGTGCTCTGCTTCCTCCCTTCCCTCTCTCCAGGTACATCTGCAGCCTCAAGACATGTCCTGCAACACCCAGTGCCGTCCCTGCCAGCCCTGCGGCCCCACCCCGCTGGCCAACAGCTGCAATGAGTGCTGTGTCAGGCAGTGCCAGGACTCCACCGTGGCCATCCAGCCCTCGCCCGTGGTGGTGACCCTGCCTGGCCCCATCCTCAGCTCCTTCCCACAGAACACTGTGGTGGGATCCTCCACCTCAGCTGCTGTTGGTAACATCCTCAGCTGTGATGGAGTGCCCATCAACTCTGGGGGCTTTGACCTCTCCTGCATCACCAACCGCTATGGTGGCAACAGATGTCGTCCCTGCTAAACCACTGGTGCAGCCCTCACAAGGATCCCCAGGAACCCAGAAGCTGATGCTGGACTGAGGACACAGCTCCTGGCCATTGAATTCAGAGGTGCTGAGCAACCAATGCTGCCCTTCTCCAGGAGGGCAGGTGGGGCTCTCTGAAACCATGGCCAGTGTTTGCTTTCCTGTCTTACTCTCTATCCCACCTCTCTCTTGTCTTCCATACTTCTGGATTGTAAGACTTTCAGCGCCTCTCTGGGGGATCTGCTAACCTCTGCCCACTGTGGGGCAGGCAGATGGATTCCCCGTTGGCTCTCCAGTGGCTCTCCAGTGTCTGTGCCAAAGTGGTCACAGACTTTCTGCAGTTGTACGTGGTCTCTCACCGCCACCACCAGCAACCTCCTCTATAAGGGAGTTAATTTCCCACTTCAATGACAATAAAGCTTTCTGCATCTTACCCTCAGCCTCCATGTAATCCTTTTTTGGTGTCCTTGTCTCAAGTTGCTGAGACCAAAAGGCATTGCCATGGGTGGTGGAGGAAAAGGTGGGGACACAAGTGGACCATTGGTTATTCCCAGAGGAAGGGGAGGGTGAGAAACACAGAAGTGGGGCCCATTCAGGTATTATCCCTTGGAGCTGAGTAAGACATCCTTGACGTCTTCACAGACATCAGGCTCAGCCTTCCAACATTTCTGCTCAGATATGATTCCTTGGTCTCAGAGCATGTCCTGCAGATGGGGAGTACAACCCATCCTTGGGACCAGGTCTAGCAGACTCTGTAGAGTCCTCCCACAGTCAGTGATGGGACATCAGGTCACCCAGGGGACTTATCCCACCCCAAAGCAGATGTGCACAGGCACTGGCATGAGTCATTCCTGGAGACACAAGCCCTGCAGCTGATCAGTGGTGGCCTCTGAACTCCCCAACTAGGACAAGCTCACAGCAGGGCCTGTATACCTGGTCATGTGTGCATGGATTGCTTCATTAAGTGATCACAAGTGAACCTACAGGCTCCAACACCTCCATTCCATGGCTAAACCCCACATCCATTTCCATGGATAGCACAGATAGATAGCAGGGAGATGACTTCATGGTCAGCAAAGAGGCTCAAGCTGAGCACTTTACTCACATAAGCTTCATCTCTACCTCACACCAAGTACAGGTCAGTTTTCTCTCAACCACACTGAATCCTGGTACACAGGACTTGCAGAAAATGTCTCTGTCAAGTACAACACCTGTGTGGTGGTCCTGGACAGTGTAGACAGACTCTCCCTGGAGGTGAATCTAACTCAAGATGTCTAGAGGATAAGACATCTTGACAGAGGATAAGAAGTGAGTGTGTTTTTGTGTGTGTATGGTCTAAGCCAGCTGACTAGTTTGTCTTGAGTATCAACAGAAGAGAAATAGGTGTCTATAAGGCCTGTATTGCCTGACCTGTAAGAAATAATTTTTTGTAAAAGTTGAACTAAGGCTTGAGGGTGCCTATTTCTCTCAGCTGATGATGAATAGAGCAAAGATGTGTACCTCAATAGAAGACCCCTTTTATGGAGTCAGGGAAAATAAATTTTTCTCTACTAATGTATTGTCTGATTTTGAACTCAGATCTTTACTTAGTTCTTCAGTTAAACTTCACTTAGTTAACTCACTTCAGTTAAAACTGAAGACACAGGCCTTAACTGCATTTAGAGGCTCTGAAATGAGGTAGGTGAATCCCTTACATTACTCAGTATTCATATGCCCACAGTATCCTTTAGTTACTTCCCACCCTGGAGGTTTCAGGGCCACCTGAGTATCCAGCATCAAATACTTGACACTTCCAGTCTCCTGGAACATGAATATTTCAGAAATCTCCATGACAGCTGAGTTCCTGACAAGGTTCTCATACCACAGCTGCAGGCAGGAGGCAAACACCCAGCCTAGAAGCTACTTAGGGAATTGTATTGCTGTTCTTTAATTGGCCTGTGTGAAAAGAGAGTACTATTCATCTCTGACAAGCTCATTAGACCTCCCAGAAGTCAAACTCCCTGGAGCACACCAGAGGGAAAACAGAAAATAGTCTCCTAGGTGTGGCCAGCTGGAGCTTCATTGTGTTAATGAGGTGGGTGTGGGGATGTTCTTATGGTAATGATGCTGGCGACTCTCTGGTGTATGATCTCACTATATGAAGCTAAGCTGAAGAGATTTTACACTTTGTGTGTGCACACAAAGCTCTCTTTAGTGGAATTACAGTGGTGGCTGTGAGAGGGAAAAGATCAGGATTGGAAGCTGTCAGATCCTACTGGATGGAGAGGAAACAAGGTCAGGCAGTTGCCATCAGCTTGAAGTGAGTCAGCAAGGGGAGAGCTGCTCATCCACACACCTGCACCTGAATCCAGAGTTCCCCTCAATAAATCTACCTCTTTCCAATGCTCTCCATTAGCCAAGGGGACCATGGCTACCTTGGGAGGACAGTGCATGAAAAAATGTCATTTGGATCATTTCAACTGGCAAATCTGGTGAGTGAAGCCTGCCCAAGACCTATAGTACAGACTTCCAATGCCTTGCATGTTTAAGGACAGTTAATTTAAGGGAGATTTCTTTACCCTTTAAATACTTGAGATTTTTGGTATATATTGCTGTGCAGGAAGATAGGAGGAAAATAAATGATTCAGATGGTGATTTAGTCCATCTGTCTTCCACAACCACCTGAAGATATGTTCTCTCTAGAGAAGTGCTCAAGAATCCTCCCTTGTTTGCAGGAACAGTTCAGCAGAGCTACCTTTAATGGGATTCAACTCAGAGGATTTTGCCTTCAGTCACTGAGGCTGAATATCTCTGCCCAAGTTGAGATGTCTAACATCCAGGTACTTACTAGACTCCTACCTTAGACCTCAGAGACAACCTGCCACTTCTAGAGAGCTTTTAGCCATGTTTATAAGATAAAATGAGCCATGTCTCCCTCATGCTTTTTCTCTGTCTGTGAAGAAAGAAGGAGGGGTAAGCTGAGGAGCTAAGATAGGAGTACTTCACTGTAGATATTTCAGCTTGGTCAGCAGAAATCCTTCCCCTGGCTCTGAGATGGCAAAATTGCAAAGAGGTAAATTTTACCCCTAGTGGGTATGCTAAGAAGCAGACATCAGTGAGGGAAATTGAGGTATTTGCAAAAGCTTCCTGTTTGAGGCTTGGAAGAAAGCAAATACCGGAAACCTTTAGTAGTGACTGTCATACTAACCTGCTGCCCTGTGTGTCTGAGGCTCAGTCTCAATCCCTTGTGAAAACTGACATAGAAGAGGTGGGGAAATCTCTTGCAGTGTCACATTATCATGACAATATTTGTATTCCTCAGTTGCATTTGCTGATATCACACCTCAGTATTGCCTGCTTTAGAGACTACAGGTTATGTTATTCCCTTCCTACTTGCAACAGCTTTTCCCATAGCTGGAGTGCCTCAGCCTGTTGGCCATAGTTTCCTAAGCAGGATTTTTATCTCACAGAAGTGACTATATTCCCTATGCTGAAAAGGAAGAGCACCATCTGATAAATAGTTCCCCAAGTGTTCATTTGTTGGGGTATGCCTGATTTTTGGGGTTAGATCTAGTTGTCCAAAAGTGTTTCATCAGGGAAGGATTTCTGTGAAAATTTCTACATATGTTAAATACCATTTTCCCATGCTGTGCTCCAAGTGCATTTTTGGGGATGGTGATTTTTCTCACTACTTGTAGCATCTGAAGGACCAGCACAAGCATGCAAGCTTTCACAGAAACTTTTCTCTCTTTGCAGACATACCTCAGCATTTGGAAGGACATGGTAAATGGAACAAGTGTGGAGGAATTCATCCTGCTTGGCTTCCCAGGCACACGGCAATTCCGAGTCTCCTTTGTGGTGGTATTTGCACTGATGTACACCCTGACAGTAATAGGCAATGCATCTGTCATAGCCCTTGTGTGGAGAAGCAGCAACCTACATACCCCAATGTACTTTTTCCTTTGTAATCTCTCCTTTCTGGAGATCTGGTACACTACTGGTGTTGTTCCCAAAGCTATAGGAGTCATGCTGGGGACCAGCCAGACCATCTCCTTCAGTGTCTGCATCCTCCAGTTGTTCTTTCTTCTCTCTCTAGGCTCCACTGAGTGTTTTCTCCTGTCTGTCATGGCCTATGACCGCTACTTGGCCATATGCTACCCCCTGAGGTACAGTTCCCTCATGAACAGTGTCCTCTCTGTTCGGCTGGCACTCAGCTCCTGGCTGGGAGGCTTTTTGGCCATTTCCCTGCTGGCCTTTCTGACATCCAGGCTGACTTTCTGTGGGCCAGATGTCATCAATCATTTTCTCTGTGATATAGATTCTTGCCTTGCCCTCTCCTGTAGTGATACAAGGCCTGTGGAGCTGGCAACCTTCCTCATCTCCATAATTGTTGTGGTGGCCTCCTGTGTGGTCACTCTGGTCTCCTATGTGTACATCATCTCTTCCATCCTGCGGATCCAGTCAGCCCATGGTCGGAAAAAGGCCTTTTCCACATGCTCTGCCCATCTCAGTGTTGTCACAATCTGGTATGGCTCCACCATGTTCCTGTATGTCAAGCCATCAGCCCAGAACTCTCTGGATCTGAACAAAATTGTGAATACCTTTAACACAGTGGTAACTCCTTTGTTGAACCCCTTCATTTACACACTCAGAAACAAAGAGGTGAAGCTTGCTCTGGGACGGGCTTTCCAGAAAAAGTGAAGTGACTTTTCACAGGGCATCAGTTGAACAAACAGATTCATCCCTGCCCTCCCATGAATTCTGCCCTGCAGAAGATCCCCACTGAAATGTAGGGGCAGTGAGAAGCCACCAATTCCAGTGAGTTAATATCACCTTACAGCCATCTCTGGCTGGGCTGAGCCTCAGTTCAGCTGCTTCCACCACCCTCTGCTCATTCCCAGTGAATTCAGAATGCCTCCCAGTCCTTTAAAGTGCCGTGCTTGGAAAGGGTCACAAACCCTGTCCATAAATGGTTCTGTAGCAGAGCTGGAGGAGTGGTACTCCCACAGGTTTCTACCCCAGTTTGCCAAGTGCTTCATTTTGTCATGGTTTGTCTCAATCTCCTACAGAAATCCCAGCAATTTTAGGAAACAATGTTTTAGGAAGTAGACATGTGTTTCTCCATTTAGTCTGATGTTTTGTGATGTATCTATGCCACATTCTTGTAGCTATTTAATCAAATCATACTCTGATTCAAGATAAAATTTGGCAATGTCTCATATTTCTACCTATAGCCATTATTCCTAGCATAAGACTGCAAACAAAATTTGCATAATTCCTCTTCTTTCCTCTCCTTAGTATCTGAATCTACTCTCTTATTTTTAATTAAAATTATGCAAAATAGTGTGCTTCATACTAAATGTGTCAGGGCATTTCCACATCTAAAACCCCACATCATTTTTAGCAGTACATTGTTCCACCCATTTTGGGCTTTGTTGTGGAAAAACTTTAATGTAATTGAGCAAAGCACTCAAAGTGCAGAGCTGTGGAAGGCAGGTTGGGAAGCAAATCTCTCTCTACACTCACTGGGAAGATATTAGCACTTCCAAACAGCACTTGATTTTCCCCTCCCAATTTTCATTTCAGAACAGATTAATCACCTTCTCAAAGCTTTTCTTTTTGCACACTGACACTGAAGATAGTCCATGTAAGCACTTCATAATGAGGAGACATGAACATGGTAGACACACCTTCATGGAGAGTGTGGGATTAATTTTGAAGTTAGATTAGTTTTTGTAGAACTCTCCAAGGCTGATGATTGAGTCTGAACTGAACATCTACTCTTCCCTTCTAGAAGCAATGGCATTTCAGGAGGAGATTCACAAACCTCCTGCATCCTCCTGCCCTAACCTGGACACTTGGCATTTAGGACACAAGCCCAAACACCATTGCCCAGGGCACAGGCTGATTCCCACACTTTGTCAGCTGTGCTCTTTTTCAGTGGCATTTGGGAAAATGCCTGGGACAGCAGAAAGAGTCTGAGACTGGATTTATCCTCAGACAGACATCACTGCTTGTCTTTTCTGCCTAGAAATGATGCATTTTGGAGAGAATTGTATATTTGGAGTGCTGAAGCCCTCTACAGTCCTGGAAGGTGACAAAAAGCAGGACCAGAAATGTCCAAGAAATCCAAGACACAGCAGAGTGCAGGACACTGAGACCTGCTGTGAATTCCTCATCGACACTGCTCGGAGCCCTCTGAGATAAACAGGGGCATGCAAAGCCTCACACAGGGCTGTCAGAGCAGGCCCTTGTCACTTGGGAGAGGCAGGCTATCCTGGAACAGCAGCAGAAAAACAAATGAGTACCCTAAGATTTCTAAGGTGAAGGGGATGATACTTCAGGAGCAACATATTCCAATTCAAAGGGTGGGATCCATCTGGAAACTCAGCATCCTTGAGCTGAATTTCCATAATTGCTGTAGTTGGGTTGCCTGAAAGTAGGTCCCCAGAACCCTTCCTTTAGCTCATGGGAGGAAAGGAGATCACTGAGATGTTACCAGCTGTTGGACAGAGAAACTGGCATGGACTTGAGAACATGAGCGCTCTCTCCAGCACTGGTGATTTCCACAAAAAGAATGAGAGACATTAAAAAGAGTGAGACCATTCTCTGGCAATGGATGAGTGTAGGAAGAATCTTGTCCAGAGTCTGGCTGATGACTGTTTTCCACTTGCTGATGCAGGATAAGGAAGAGCCCTTCCCATTTTGGGCTTCTGTGATCACAATGGCAAAACCGTAAGAGCAATTGTGCCTCCTACCAAAGGCCTCATTCTCCAGCTGTGGTCATCAGTGGAGGCCCATGGAGATGAAGCAGGAAGAAGAGCCAGTAGGCTACTTGCTCTGAGAATTCCAATGCTATTTTAAGCAGAGAACATTGACTAGGGTGGTTTCAATTTTTAATGGTGTAGCTTCCAATAGATTTGCCCCAAGTCAGGTTTCTTGGACTGTTTTCATCATCAAAATCCCTGGATCTAGAAGCAACTGTGAAAGTCACACGAGCATGTGCTTCACAGCAGCACAGCATCCCCTTCCAGGAATACAGCAGCCATAGCTTCTCTGGACAATCTGTGCCAGGGCCTCACCACCCTCACAGGGAAGAATTTTTTCTCAGTAACTAGTATGAATCTATCCTATTTTGTGGGAAAGCCATTCCCCCTTGTCCATGCCTCTTCATCTCTCTTGGATCCTCTTTGGGCACAGGAATGTGATTAAAGGCATCCCCAGAACCACCTTCAGGCTAAACACATTCATCTCTCCCAGCCCTGTCTCCATAGCAGAAGGGCTGCAGCCCTCTGAGTATCTTCGTGGCCTCTTCTGGACCTGCTTCAGCACCTTCACATTGTGGGCCCCAGAACTGGACACAGCACCCCAGCTGGGATCTCACAAGAGCAGAGTATTGGGGGAGAACCACTTCTCTCTACCTCGTGGTCACTCTCCTTTTGATGCAATACAATCCTGGGATAAAATTCCAGGGCTGCATGTGAACATTGCAGGTCATGTCCAGCCTCTCATTCACCAGTACACCCAAGTCCTTCTTGGCTTGGCTGCTCTCAGTTTGTTATTACCCAGTGTATGTCCATCCTTGGGAATGACCCAACCCAAATTCAGGACCTTACACTTGGCCTTCTTGTGCTTCATGAGGGTTATATGGGCTCACCTCTCTCTCCTGCAGATAGTCAAGATTGTAGGGGGACAACACACTGTGAACTCTGCTGAGGACACCTAGGGACAACTGCAGCAGGGTTGGAGCATTGTGAGGAAGGACAAGGAGCCAGACAAGCCCATGATATTATCTGTGCTGCACAAAGAGGGAATGAGTTAAAACTAGCTAGAATTTTCTCCTCATAGCAGAGTTAGGCAGTTTGGGGCCAAAACCAGTTGCAGAATCCATGGAAATGGGGAGGGAAGAAGTGACCATAGGGAGGGAAAGAGAAGGATAGGACATATCTTCATGCACAGAAGTCCTTGGGCAGCCAGCTGAGGATTGCTGGAAATCAAATAGCCCCACCAGAGTTATACAGACTGTAATATCACTTGCCTGGTCTGGGCCCATGCAGTATATAAACTGAGTCTTCTGCCTGCACTGCTGCATTCCTGCCTTAGAAATCCTGGGGCCTTTAATCCCAGGGATCAGAAGAAGCCTTCATTGGGGAACGAGCATGGAACAAACCTGGAAATGAAAAGGCAGCAATGCAGGAAATAAAAACACAGCCCATATCATTAGGTGTGCTGGTTTGCATTCAAGATGAGCTTGCTGGGAAATTGTTACCTCTGCAAAGACTGCCCCTGGTCCTGTGGCAGTGAAAGGCAGGTATAAAAGGCAGCCCAAGTCTCTGCTCCCTCATCCACTTCTCTTGCTTCCTTCAGCTTGGGAACCAGGTGAGTCTGAAGCCCTTTCTCTTTCTCTTCCAAAGTGAGATCTCCACATGGTGGACATCTCAAATTGGCTTCCTCATGTCTGGGGATTGGAGCATTTGGTCATGAGAGGGGAAAGCGGGGAGGAGGCTGGCATAGAGAGAGGCTGGTGACAGTGGTGCCTTTTGGTTTATGAGCTGGGAGAGAACTTCCTGAGTCAGGCTGCTCTTTGCAGGGCTCCTGGCCCAGTCTCCAGCTTCCCACTCATGATGGTCTTGGCTCTTTTGTGATGGGATAACCCACTCAGCCTTGTGCTCTGTTTTCTCTCTGCTCTCTTTTCCAGGTGCACCTGTGGCCTCAAGTCATGTCCTGCAACACCCAGTGCCGTCCCTGCCAGCCCTGTGGTCCCACCCCGCTGGCCAACAGCTGCAATGAGTGCTGTGTCAGGCAGTGCCAGGACTCCACCGTTGTGATTGAGCCGCCTGCTGTGGTGGTGACCCTGCCTGGCCCCATCCTCAGCTCCTTCCCACAGAACACCGTGGTGGGATCATCTACCTCGGCTGCTGTTGGCAACATCCTCAGCTCTGATGGAGTGCCCATCAACTCTGGGGGCTTTGACATCTCCTGCATCACCAGACGCTATGGTGGAAGGAGGGGTCTCCCCTGCTAATGGTTCTGGGCATATATAGGTCTTGGGAAGTGTTCCCAGGATCTCCAGGCATGGTGCTAGACAAAGGAAGAATCTTCAGGTCATTTTTTTCAGAGGAACTTTAGTTCCTCCTGAAAATGCTGGAAGGAAGGGCCCAGCTCAGGCACTCCGAAAGCATGCCCTATGTCTTTCCTACATTTCTCCTTGTCTCTATTTTCATTGTGTCCTTCTGCTTCCCTGGGCTGCAAGGCTCCTCCAAGCCAGCCTGCATTCTACAGGCAAGGCAAATGGATGCCCTGCATGGACTTCACCATGTCCAAGAGGTGAAGTGTCTTGCTTGTCCCTCCAGATCCCTGCACTGAGGGCTTGTGCTTGTAACAACCTTGATTCCCTCTTTAAACTCAATAAAGATTTTTGCATCTCAGGCTGGGTCTCCAGGTGGTCCTTCCCTCCACATATGTCCTTGCAAGCTGCTGGGGTAGAATGGTGCTGTTCCTGGCAGGGGGTAAGGTGACAATGTAGTGAGATCCTTCATCCAGAAAAATGTGAGGTTGGGATACACTGCAGAGGATCCTACGTTGGGAACAATCCTGGGGCAGGATGCGAAACATCCCCAGTTATGCCAAGGTGATCAGCCCTTTCCCTTCAGTGTCTCTGCCCAGGTATACCCTCAACACCTCCTGCAAAAACCTCTGCTGTCCTCATGTAACAGCTAGAATTCCATGGGAGGTCCTGGAGACAAACCAACCTGCAGTGTCATGGGAATGTGGCACCTCTTGCTCTGGTCAGTGTTGTGCTAGGGTGTGAGATGAAGAACGAGGGATGCGACCACCCTGCTTTGAGGTGATTTATTGCTCAAGTAGCCAGATATGATATCAGTCTCAAGGCATGAGATTTAGAGGAACAACAAGTCAGCCATAGCTCGAGGAAATAATGAGTTTCTTCTTTGCACAGCAATATATATAACATTTTGGTCCAATAGGCAGTTGACACAAAGGTTGTTTTCACTTATTAACCCATCACCTTTGCTTAATTTTGCTGCACTGTGTCTCTCTCTTAGCCACTAAGCTGACAGGTCACGTACTCATACACACCTCTACTACAGTTTCTAGATCTCTAACCTACTCTGTAAGTCACACTATTACAACTTAAACCTCAAACTATTTTACCTAATATAATTTCTTACTTTAGGCATATTCTTACTTATAATTATAGGAACATAAGTTTATAATTTCTCTACCTAATGTC